ATTCGTATCACAAAATGACGCTTTGTCAACTCTGGAAAAAAAAAATGCTGGGAGGAATACTTTACTCTCGCGAGAAACGGCAGACGGCGCATCGCTCACTTTGTACGGTTTCCTGCAGTATTTCAAACTTTCGCTACTTCTCGCTAGGTCAGCGCAAGCGAGGAGGTCAAAAATATTTGAAGAGGACGCTCCTCCACGAAGGATTGCTCGCGGAAGCTATAGCGGAGTTGACGTTATGCTCTCTCAATAGTACGCTTAACCTCCTTGGGTGCAAGCCGGTGCAAGCGGCACCAAATTTAGAAGTCGGAGAGCTTTATCCAGTATTTGCCGCCATTTGATGGACCCCCGACTTCCACTAAGGCAACGCCCACCAGTAAAAAAAAGAAGAAAAAAAAAAGACTGACTGTATAGGGAATGAAAGTGCCTCAGGAAAGATAGTTAGAAAGTACTTGTACACCCCGTCCTCGCGATTGGCCAGCGCCGGCCCTCGCGCCTTCCTCGAGGTAGTGGAGGGGCCTTTCAGTTTGAGTGTAGTTTGAGTGAGGTTTCTGAATTCGGCGGTTAATACAGCTTTAGGGAGCCGTAAAACAGGCAAGAAACCAGGTAAGGTGTTCACCTTCATATTGCCGGCGGGTGTACATTACTTTGAAAGCTTATTGCATTTATACTACTTTGTTTCAAGTACCATATTGCAACCAGTGTACGTACTTACTACCTCACTCGAAGTACAGAACTTTCCATTTACTTTGTACTTTACATCAAGTACTTTTTTATGGAGATTACCCAACAATGGTAAATAGCAGATATGGTTGTTTTGTCAATAGCGAGTTCTACGGGCTATTGAGTGCGTCACAATCGCTCACATCTTCGGCTGGAGCATTACACCTTCATATATACACGACAAAAATGTCGGGCACCCAGGGGAGCTCGTGGGGTTTTTCGAACAACCCAAATAGTTTATCTTTTCGGAATACCGGGGCTTTATCCTTTCTGGCATGCTATTTATTTTCTCTGGATTCAAAATAGCCATGGAGAAAACGGCAAATAAAAACGATGCATTAAAAAAGGCCGTCAAGCATTTTGTAACCCATCGGGAAGCAGGCTAGCCGCGCCATATAACAGCATATGACGTGGTGTTTACAGTGTTGCCAGTTGAGCCTCTCAAACCAAATTTAAAACGTCAATAACTTCGCGATAAAGACGAACAAACAATTATTTTGCCTTATAATTTGGAGTGCTAGTTCGGACATCTCTATTCATCTGTTTGAAGCAGTTTCGACGCAAATCAGTGAGTATACAATTTTCACCCTTCACACTAACAAATGTCGCTCGCGTCGATCGCCCGCCCTTGTCGCTTCGATTCTCCGTCGATCTATTCGAACCGCGTCAACAAGAAAGAGAAATTATAATTGTGATTCTGGACTCACTGCACTCATTACGTTCCAATAAAATCCGTAATTTTTATAAAAATAAAACAAAAAACTAAACTGAGCTACCATACTCCAATTTCCTGTCGCCAGTCAAAGCTATGGGTGCAAATGGACACGCGCGCATCTTGAGAACCCATCAGCTGTGCGCGCGCACTCTTCACTCCTTTAAAAAAAAAGGGGCAGTGAGTTAATTGCGCGCGAGTAGGGTGCCTCGTGCGCTGGTTGGAAACTCGTGGCAGTGTCCAGTTAAAGGAAGCAGTCTGAACCCACAAGGCGTGAGAAAATCTAAGTCACGACCCGAACATCACGAGTCCAATTTCTCACGCTCGAAGGGGCTGCGGCAAAAACTCCCTCGAGCTTACTTAACTTTCCGACACCTTGTTAGCATTCCGGCTACCAAAGCTCTGTCGCGACGCCAAGAGCTTCACTTTTTTTTTGTTTTGTTTTTTTCTGCAGACCGGGATAAAATGCAGGGTGACTAATATACGTTGCGTGCGCTGTCTCCGATGATAATCGATAGTATTGCGTATAACAGCAAATGTTAGCGCTGTGGGTTTCCGTAGCGTTCCGTGCTCCACTCCGCCTAAACTGCGTCTTGGATTGACGCGTGGCGTCGTCGCCATGCGTCAATCCAAGACGCAGTTTAGGGCTTCGGGAACGTTCAGTGTCCAACACGCAACGTTAACGCAAACGCAGAGTGCTTGCGTTTTTTCGTATGCGAAACACTGCAACTAAGCAATGGGCATTCGAAGCTCACGGGCTCGAGTGCAAGCGCGGGACCCTGAAACACTTTTGCATGCCCCTATAACTCCCGTTGATTGGGATAGCGGATTTACATTTGAAACTTTTACTTTTTGTTCCCGCGTTACGGACACGTTATACATCTTCAAAACGAACTCTTAAAAAAATATTGCTGAATCATTGTGAAGGCACGTTAAGCGGCCATGAAACAGCAGTACAACGCGCCCCAGTTTCACTCAGTTCACATTAATTCTTGTCATATATTTTTTTAATGGAGAAAATGATTAAAATGATTAGTAGCCAATCAAGGTGAAGGGGGAAAGAGGTTATGACACTTGACCTCAGAGTAACCACTTAATCTCGAGGCCGTGTTGGAAGAAAAAAAATTAATAAACAGGGTAATCGCACCTTAGCTTCGGGGTAGTTTTTACAGCGGTTCGCCAGCCAACCTGTGCAATTACATTTCTGTCGAAAAACATAAGACGTTGGCACAAGGTCTATTTATGAACAACGAAGACACGTCACGAACCCGCCGATTAGGTACGGCCTTGAACTCCATTTGCAGCTACGCCTCCGAAGCGACACGCTATCGGTCAAACACAATCTAAATTTAGTTAAGGCACGTACAAAAATTTCTCGTTTTCAGCTACTGCTTTGTAAACAAGCCAGTTGCAACTGAGGGGCTACCTGCGATAGCGGTACAAGTTCAAAAGTGCCGTTGCCAAAGTGGGGCCTCCACAAGCTCGATGGGAACGAATTTCTGGAATATTACAGCGGCCAAAAGAAGTAGGGCGATGATAATCTGCACGTCCGGGAACCGAAATAAAAAAAAAAAATGGTACAAGTCAAATAGAACCTATTATTACAAGTTGTCCCTCCGTTGGACTGTTACCTACCGGCATTCCGAAAAAGCACTAGCTAACGAAACTCTCCGCAAAATAGTAAGACACAAATCAGATGTGGAGTTGTTAACAGGGCGCAAGCTTTGAGTGAATTTCTTACCAATAAGACATGCATAATCGAATGAGCAAAAGCTTGCTTGACAGTTTGCTGCAGCTGTTTCAAGGAGGTACACAAAGAAAGAACACGAATAAGTTCAAACTTTAATTTCGTTTTAACGGAGAAACAGAATCATGCAAGGAGTGCTCCCAAAGGCGAATCAATCCGCAGCTACGAAAAGGAGACAAAACGATCAGAGGAAAAAATGTTTAAACGACTTATCCACCTACTCTTAGTTTCGTAGCCTTCGTTAGCGTTCATTAAACGCGACCCGAACTCGTCTCGTAAACCAAACCAACGAGAAATTCACTGCAAACCGCCTCCCGGTAAAAACACACACACAAAAAAACACCTTTTTAGGGCCAGTTTGCTGATCGTTGCGCCTATCGTGCCCGGCGAATGAACTACTCGTGAAAGTGACTTTGAGGTTACGGACCGGCTGTGTGTGAAACTAATACCCCATTCACAAAATCATAAAAGTATACCTCTATACTCTGTTTCATACTTAGCGTGCAACGCTGTCAGAGCTACTGGCGCGAGCGTGGGGCTTGATCTCGTTGATCATTTGCACGCGCTCTCACTCAAACGAAACCATAGATGAAGCCACACGCTCGCGCCAGTAGCTTTCACAGCGTTGCACGCTAAGTATGAAACAGAGTATAGCTAAGGAACCTTTATGGTCAGCGGCGGATCAGTTCGTGGTCCTTCGCGCGTGGAATGTGCCAGACCGAAGAGCGCCTGTTGATTCGCCGATTGCAAAGGGACATATATTAAAGGTGCCTTTATGCTTACCGTGTGAATTGGGTATTTAGAGTACCTAGCGATGTCTGCCATAATTTCGTACCCCCTTCACTTACTAAAGTCCGATTCCAAGTGCAGAAAAAAAATATGCGAAGAGGCTTAAGATGTACGTGAAATTAAGTGCGTTCTTGTACTTAATGAGCAGCAAAGAAAGGTGCATCTGGGGACGGTCGCGTTAAGCGAGAATTTAAAAAAAAACGGTAGGAAAGGCTTACGTCTGCTGGGCTGAATCGGCAGGAACGCTAGGTACTTTCTCTCTCCACGGAGCCGGTCACGTCATATAAAAGTTGCTCTTGCGGCCATTCTAACCTCCGGTTCCAATATACACGGAGGTAGGAAAACCAGCCTTAGTCTCCCGAACGCGACCAAAAGCAGAGGAACGACCGACGTTCCGTTTCTTTTCACAGCGGCTATCATCAGTGTGTTATCAGCGGGACCGGTAAGCTCGCATATTGCGGACCGCGGAAACCAAACGCGCAAACGCAGTGTTCCTATGAGGTCAAGGGCTGCCACTCGGCGGCACGAGACGTCACGCACGCCACACGCGAAGCCGAAAACACCCTCTCCACGGACAAAGGCAAGAACGAAACACGTCCAACAACTCCAAAACGTGAAGGCAAAAATAAAACGGCGGCTTTCTCCGCGTGCCTTCAAGGTCCCGCAAAACAACACTATATCTATTCTTCGCTTCCGTCCGAGCGCGGCCGAAGCCCTTCCATTTTTTTCTTTTGTTGTTGCGTACGCACGAAGCTGGGCTTTCTCCGCACGTCACCCAGATTAGCTCACCGACTGGTAGCGTCCGACGACGCGTCGGAAAATACTCAAAATCTCTTAATGAGCCAAGCAACACACAGGAGAGCGGGGGAAATTCGTATGAGAGAGAAAGGGGTGCGCTATTTCTCCGCCAACACGACGCTCTCGCTCGAGCGACGGCCGCTTTCTCTCCTTTCTCACTTGGACGTCCTCCTCGCCATGTCGTCATTCGTCGCGGCGTTCTCGCGCCCTCTCCATCGCCACCACATTGAAATAAAGACGGGATCTCACCTGAGCAGCACACGTTCGTTCCCGACAAATTACCGGCGACACAGCATCGCTCAAGAGCCTCCGCCAGAGTCGCCAGACACGGGACCGCAGACATGTCTACCGCAACCATCAACGCCGCCAACGCCGTCGAAGCATTCTTACCCCGGGATCCCCGAACCCTCAGCTGGTTCCTCGCAGGTAACAAGTCGTTCCTGGCCACTTTACTCATCGGCTATGTGTACCTAGTGAAAGTCGGAGGACCGCGCTTCATGAAGAACCGCAAGCCGTACGAAAACCTCAAGCCCGTCATCGTGCTGTACAACTTAGCCATGGTCTTCCTCAACATGTACTTCGTCAAGAACTTCCTGACCAGATCGTACCTGGGCGGAGGCTACAACTTGATCTGCCAGGGCATCAACTTCGAAGCTAAGGACGAGACGACGAAGGAATTCCTCGTGCTCTGCTGGTGGTACCTCTGGGTGAGAGTGGCCGACTTCCTGGACACCATCTTCTTCGTGCTCCGCAAGAAGGACTCCCACGTGTCCTTCCTCCACGTTGTCCATCACATCCTGGTCGTCTTCAACGGCTGGTACGGTCTCGCCTTTGGTCCAGACGGTCAGGTCGCTCTGGGCATCATTCTCAACAGCTTCGTCCACGTCGTCATGTACTCCTACTACTTCCTGTCACTTATGGGTCCTGCCGTCCGCCCCTACCTCTGGTGGAAACGCTACCTCACCCAGTTTCAGCTGGTGCAGTTCGTCATCATGTTCATTCACATCATCATGCCACTCTTCATGAGCTGCGGCTACCCCAAGCTCCACTCGACGATCGTTCTCGTCGAGGCAATTTTCTTCTTCACCATGTTCATGCGCTTCTACTCCAAAGCCTACAGCAGCAAGCGCGTTCCTAGTCACGTCGAAGACTCCAAGGAAAAGTCAAAGTGAGTTTCTCTCGGTTTTAGGTTAATCAAGGACAATTTCACTTGTACTGTGCGCGCTTGTACGGGGGATTTCGGGAGCTTTCATGGTTGCACCCAGCTCCGGGAACTCTCTCACCTCCTGCCCCCTTCCGATCCCAGCACAAGCTAGTACTTCTACTCGGACGTTGGCCACGCGGCATCCTAAGGTATTCAAAAGGGTTGCAGAAGTACAAATCAACGCAAGACTGGTTGTTCGCGGGACTTGAATTTGTATAGTGAGATTCGAAATCCTCTCGAAGAGGTACAAGACCTGTGATACGAGCCAGTGTTTATAGTCCAGCTCTTCATCGGGCAGAGCGTTCTGCCACTCGAACTGTACAAGACCCTCGTCACGATGTCGAAAGTGGCGATGCTCGGAGGAGTCACGTCGAACACTACCAACGCACAGTTAACCTCTACCGAGCTTCTGTCGATGGTGTTTTTGTTCCTGGGATTATTTTTTTTTTACCCCTTGTGTCATAAGTCATTGTAAATAAAACAAACATGCTCCTGGGTTTGTTGTCGTATTCATGGAAAAAACAAACGCGCACACCACTAATCATCAGCGGTCGCTTTGACAAGATTGCTGGTGCCTAAGGTACTGGACGATTTCCTTCTAATCATTGGTCCTGAAATTAACGCCATTGTTTCGAGTTATAGTCCTGGCAACATAAACATGGTTTGCCGAACGAGCTGCTGTATTGGCAAAACTGCGTGAGAAGTACGTCACGAAGGTACTAATTCCCTCCCGATCGAAAATAATCAATTGTCGCTGAGAGTGTTAAACAGGCGAATACAAACCCAATGGCGGTAGAAACAGTTCAATGTTCGAGAGTGAACAAAAGGATACCATTAGTGTAGATCAGATACAATGAATTCGTGGCGATCAGATGTAAATAATAAATTGTGTTCTGCGTATATTCAGACAAAGAAAAGTTAATCAGCCCTAATGAGCGTCTCGGGTATCTGTCGTATACCAGAAATTTAGCCATCGCAGCAGCACTGCTAGCCTGGGGTCTTTAACTTTCGCCCTTCAGTAACGATATACAACGGCACGCCGATACGATGCCCGTCCATATCGGAAAGGACGGGGCCAGGAGTAGGGAGGGATTGAACGATGCAAATGTAACTAGCTGAATTGTTTACGACAAATTTACCAACGAGACAGGCGCTTCTGCCTGAAATCGCACGATCTACTCAGATCAAATTTCCTTCGCGCATTCGTCGCTCAGCGCTTCTCCGGAAGATACGCGCCTTGATGGGCGTCGGGGAAAATAGCGCGAAATGCCATTTGGAGGACATCCGTACGTAAGGGGAAAGTGATGATATTGTCTGAATCGCCTTGAGGCCTTGACCGAGCGGAATCGCCGAAATTGATGTCACTGTTGCCCACTTCCCGTAGCCATTAGATGCATGCGAAGAAAACAAAAATTGCTGTATGGATGTTCATGGCGCAAAGTTATCGGCTCTTCGAGTGTGGCGACGGGTGCGCCGATAGGCTGTAGAACGCCGATGTGGCCCGTACAGTAGAGCCTTGACTTGGCCTGTAGATTCAAGTACCAGTTTGGCAGCAAAGTGCAGGGCAGATTTGGTCTGTACAGTAGTGGGCTCATTTGGCAGTGAATTAGTGTACCCATTTGGCAGTACAGTATAAGGCCGATTTGACCCCTACAGTATGGACTGATTTGGCTAGCAGAGCAATGGACCAAACTCGCTGCACAGCACATGTCTGATCTGGCCCCTTAAGTATGGGATTGGGGTAGTAGAGCAGTACAGGAAGGATTTGATCAGCACATTAAAGTACCAATTTGTGCCAGTATACAGAGCCGATTTGGTGCGTAAAGTATAAGACTGATTTGACCACTTCATTAAAGGATAAATTCGGCAGTACAGTCTAGGACCGATTTGGCACGCACAGTACGCAACTGGATTGGTCGGCACAGCAAAGGATCAACTTGGTAGTACACTGTAGGACCACTTTGGCACTTATAGTACCGGACTGGTTTGGTTGGTACAGCAAAGGCCCGATTTGACAGTAAAGTGAAGTACCGATTTGGTTTGTACATTCAAGGTCAAATGCGGCAGTACAGCACAGAAATGGGTTGGACCGTACAGTAGAGGACTGGTTAGGTCAGTGCAGTAAATGAGCAACTGAAGAGTACCATACAGGATTGATTTTGTCCGTACAGAACAGGACTGATTTTGTCTGTACAGTACAGAACTGATTTGGCCAATACATCTAAGGACGAATTTGGCAGAGCAGGAGATAGCCGATTTGGACAGTACTAGATAGGGACAGTTTTGTCACTAGAACAGAGTATCAATTTAACCAGTGGAATAGAAGACCAACTTGGCCAAGACAGTAGAGCATCAACGCCCCCGGTCGCATGCAAGTATAATGTATAGGGGGCATTCACTGAACGCCGTATTTGAGGGTGACGTTTACAGCGCATGCTGTTTTTGTTGTTTAGCTTTACTTTACTTATTTTGTAGAAAACAACGATGGGTTGCGCGACCATGCAGGTCCGTAGGTCACCGTTGAGGGGGGAGGGGGAGGGGGAGAAAAGGATAAAAGAAGAGAAGAAATGAAGAAAATGAAAGAGAGAGTGCGACAGTCATAGTGTCGTCATCGTTGTCGTGTATGGATCAGGCGTATCATGGGCTGCAGTGCAATTGTTCGCCTAGGCGGAGGAAAAGCCGGACTGTCCCTGCGTATGGCGACTAGCACTCGGGAGTGAGGTTCTATGTCCATCTTCCTAGGCGGTTAGACCATCCTGGAACGTCAGTAGTGTCGCTATATTATGTCGCATAGCCGCGTGCGACTCAAGAATTTGGCTAGCGCTGTTAGCATTCTTTCCGCCTTGGCAGCTGTTGCTGTGGGCCTAATCAGCGCTTCCAGGGTGTCACTAGGGCATCCGAGGGCGGAGTAGGTTTGTCTTAGTTCGTCCCGCTCTTGTTTGTACAGGGGGCACACACATAGAAGATGCTCGTCGTCGGCGGTCACCCTACATTTACCGCACGCGTCATCTCGGTGGTCCTTCCATTTTGCCAGGTAGGCGGGAGTGAAGGCGCTTTTGGTGCGTAACCTGTGAAGGACGGCTGTCTCGTTTCTCGTCAGGCGTCCGGGAACTTTAGCGGGTAGGGGTCCATTCTCGAGCTCTGGATTGCGTGCAGAGATAATTCGCCGCGTCAATAGGCGAGCGTGTGCGAAAGCGGGGACCTGAGAAATGGGGCAGTTTGGCTCGTCGTGGGCCCGGTACGCGAGGGCGTCAACTGCTTCATTGCCCTCAATCCCGCAGTGAGATGGAAGTCACTGAAAGGCGATCGTCCATCCTCCCTTTTGGAGATTCTGAGCCTTGGCCATTACCTCCCGTGCGAGTGCAGGTGCCCTGTCGGGTTTCTCCAGGAGTCTTAGCGCCGCCCTAGAGTCCCTGAGCAAAACCAGGTTCCCCGGTTGTTTCCCATCCGTCATTGCCAGTCCCAGGCGGAGGGCTGCCAGCTCGGCTGTTGTGGATCACGCATGAAAGCTCAGCTTCTCCATTCTGCTGTGTCCTTCCGAGATCGCTGCAGCCGGAGCTGTTCTTCGTTGTGCTTTCACTGACCCATCTGTGAATGTCCGTGTCCATCCGTAGTAGAATTCTTCGATGTGCTGTGATGTGTGTTGATACGCTACTGTCGCTGGTGTTACTCTTTTCGGACCCATCTGCGCGATATTCATTTCGATCCTCACTGCGGGAGGCTCACTGGACGGCGGTGGAAGTGTAATGTGGGTGGTTGGGCACCCAGCAATTTCTTCAAGGAGATTGACGAGTGTCGCAAGATGTGCACGGCGAGTCGCTATGTTTTTCACGAGTGATACTGTGCTGGGAGTTTCTTGCATTCGTATGGGATGTCGTAGAGCCCGCTCTGTCGCTGCATTTTGCACTGTGTTTGTTCCCGATTCTACTAGAGTGTGACGCGATGATGCCGCCCGTGGGACGCCTAGACATATGCGCAGTGCCACTCTTTGTGCCCTTTCCAAGCTTGCCCACTGCCTGTGATTGAGGTCCAGGAGTGGGAGTGCGTAGAGCGTTCGTGCTTTGATCAGTCCATGGTAAAGTTGAAGCATCATGCGTTGTGAGGTGCCTCTTCGTACCCCTCCAAGGATGCGAAGGATGGACGTCGTTTTCTTGTTGTTGTTGAGGACTGTGCTCACAGCAGGTTGCCACGAGACTCTGTCATCTAGTTTGAGGCCCAGGTATGTTGCTTGCTTTACTATTGGTACTGGGGCCCCTGTAATCTGTAGAGACAATGTGAACTTGTACGTCCTGTGTGGCGCATTGAGCAAGGCTACCGATTTTGCCGCGGAGAGGCTGAGGCCCAGTGTCGTTAGAAAATGGTAGATGTTGTCCAGAGCTCTCTGCAGTTCCTTCTGGACGCTTTTCTTACAGCAGCCTCGGTCGGCCGCCCAGATGGCAATATCATCTGCGTAAACCGCCATGTGCACTGGGCGGATCGTCCGCTCGCCTATCCGGGCTGCTTGCGGGAGTGCCGCCAACGCCACACTGAACAACAGCGGGCTCAGTACGCTGCCTTGCGGTACCCCTCGTGTCATACATCTCACTGTGCTGCAGACACCCGCAGCGCTCACTTGTGCCTCGCGGCCTTCCAGGAACGCGCGGATGAAGGCAAGCATTCGGCCACCGACTCCCAGTCTTTTCAGCTCTGTCACGATGCTGTTGTGTTCAACGGCATCGAAGGCCTTGGAGATGTCGAGGAGAACTACACCTGTTGTTCGGTGTCGGGCCTTGCCGTCCTCCAGCGCTGTGACCAGGTCAGTGATGGCGTCCGCTGTGCATCTGCCGCGTCGAAATCCTGCGTAGCTAGTTAGTTCATATTTTTTGGCGGTGCCAGCTGAACACTAATAAACACAAAATATAGACGCTTTACACACGCGCCAAATTACAGCCGCCATTGCTGACCTTCTTTTGTCTTACCGAGACGCCGAGCAACTGAAACGGTAGTTGACGATCCTCTACAAAGGCCGATGCTTTAGAAAAGGACACAGTTGGATCTAATGTGGCAATAACCTGGCCTGCTATGGTAATGATGAAATGTGATAAACGGAATGAGAGGAAACAAAAACTGAAGGTCAGTTATGGCGGCGTCCATGCACAGCTGCTGCAAGGCGTCTATACAAGTACAGCGTAGAAACAATTTGGCAGTACGAACGATTCGAAATTTGTCCCCATACTGTAATGGCCATTTTGCCATAACTGTATAGGACCAATCTGGAGATTACAGCGCAAAGCCAATATGTCCACGACTCCAAATATATGCAACATTCGCCTCCAAGATTTAAAAAAAAAAAAATGCATTCAGACTCCGAAATGCATAACAAGCAAAAAATCAATTATAGATGTCGCTCATTTTGCCTCGTGTGTGTTTGTCCGTCTATTTTGTAGCATGTACGCCGCGAACGTTCGGAAACTCGTACCTTAAGCAAATCCTTCTATTGCCAAAGCCGGTGATCGAC